AAAAAAACTAAAAAACCCTAAACCCCATGATCTGTCTACGATTCCCATGGACTTGTCGAAGACGAAGCAGCAGCATCGACTCGAAGGCCAAAGGCCAACCGAAGAAGTCTCGCAGCCTGGGAGTCTCCACAGCAATGGGTTTAATCTACCGCGATATGGTATATTGTAATATGGTAGAATATAGTATAAGATATTTAGAAATGAGTGTAAAATAGAAAAACCAACAATCATCACATGATATATTATGTCATATCGTACAAAATAATATCATTCTTTAATGCAATGCAAACTAATGTGGCATTTGCTTGCGCCGCGGCTTGCATCAGCTGTCTGCCTCGGTCGATACTGTCATGGATCCTGGGTTTGTTGTTGCGCGCCTGAAGCATGCAAGCCTATGTCATCGCATATTGTAATATCTTAAAGTACATTATAGTACATTATATGTAGTACATTATAGTACATTATCTGAAATGCAGCCAAAGCAACTGTATAGAGTTCGTGCCCAAGGACTGGGGCAAGCAGGCCACCTGCACTCGGGCGACGCTTTTCCGGGTTGTGGCGGCTGTTGCCACCATCCCGAACCCAGGGTTTACCGAGATGATACCGGGTACGGCCTATGTCATAGTATATTGTAATATCTTATAGTGCATTCTAGATTCTAGTACATTATATGTAGTACATTATAGGATCTTGCTATCCTTCCCTGAGGGATTCTGTAGCTTCGCGACCCTGCGAGGCGAGGGCCGAGGTCAGGGGAACACGGGTGCCCAACTTGCAAGGCCAGAACTCGCCGGGCCACAGCCGAAGCGAAAGCGGCTGTGAAAAAGATCAGAACCGCCACATACAGCAAGAACTCCCACCTTGGTAGTCCGGAACTAGAAGTAACCAGAATTCTTTGGCGATGTCGTGCCCCATAGTGCCCCAGCAGCTACAAAGGTTGTTGCAGAAAAACGGACGGCAAAGCTGGCATGTGACATAGTGCTTACCGGCACAATTCTGCAATCATGAACCGCGTCCCATTGCTTCCTGAGCCGCACGAGGCTGGCGCAGATCACACTGAATACCGAGAGCTGCACGTTCAGGTGCACCAACCTTGGAAGTTGATAAGGTCTAGTGTACCACATGATCATTTGAGACTACATCCTTCCCAATCTATCGCCCAGTCCGGGTTCAGAGTACTGCCCTTGCTAGACTGCTAGAGCCCAAGATGCAACCCAATACTCAATGAACCAACGCATTGGCATTTACATTTCCTGTTCCCTGAAAAGGAAATCCAAGCGGCTCAGAGGCGAGCACGAAGTAGAGGAGCATGGGGAAAGCAGCGAGTCGGTTGTAGGAGTGCGTCAGGCTGCCTGCGATGCTGGCTGTGTGCCTCTAAGTTCTGACCTGAAGGTGGAGCTTCCGCCCCGTTTGCGTACCCGAGACATTTTGTCTTGGTCTGCGGCTTGACGCGAGCCCGACATGCTGCAAAACTCTTCGCCGACATTCCGAGTATTCTAGGAAGCATATTTGGAATCCCGCGGCACTACAGTATTGCGACGAGGCTCGTATCCAAGTGTGTCTGTTGGAGACGGGGGATGGGCCAAGAGTGGGAAGGCCTAGGGCCTAGCGAAACAGGAGACAAAGCTGCTGCCTTGTCACCGGCAGGAGGCACTACTGTGAGACAGCATGTGCTCTGTCCCAATCATGTGCTACACTGCAGCTTTCACCGAAGGAAACAGCAGAAAGCAGAAGTTGACAACACTTTCTCTCTCTCTCTCTCTCTC